GGGGGGGGGGGGGGGGGGCTAAGTTAATTATACGCTTTCTGGAGCGGAGCGTCCAGCTAGGGCTAATGTTCTCTGAAATTACGAGGAAACTGCGTAGAAAAAAATGATGGAATGTGCAGAGGGTGATGAGAGAGTAGGGTACGTACGGAGCGAGTAAAGTTACTCGGCCAACTCCGAACGACTGCGTGCACACTCTTAAGAAAAAGGAAAAAAAGGAGTCGTGTGACTCTTAACTTTAACTCCCCTCTAAGAGACACGTGAACATTTTCAGGTTTAACCTGACCGTTCCCGGGCCTAGCAAGGTGACGTCGAGATAACTCGCGCCTATTGAGGACCAAATAAAGATGTTTGACTCACTCACTCACGTGAAAGCTTTTTGGAGATCTTTTATGCTTTCTTAGGGGATTCGGGGGGCTTGCGTCTCTGCAAAAGCGTTAACGTGTTTCCTTAAGGCTAGCAAAACAACAAAAAATTCAAATGACCTTTCTTTAGAGTGCTAAGTCAGACCGGAGTGGCATAACGAGCAGCTATGATTGTGCATGCGTGGATAATTAAAGCAGAATGCGTGCGTGTTGTACGAGGAACGCGGTGACGAAAAACAAAAAGAAAAGACTAAAAGAAGTGCGGAAAATAGACTAAAGAAGTGCGGAAAAGAATAGTCAGGAAGTCATTTCAAGGAAATTCGCGTGTGCTGGAAATCAACATCCAATTAGTTAAGCACGGCGAGGCGCGCTTATAGTTCGTATGTTCCCGAGCATAGTCGTAATCACGGGGAATGGTTATAGTTAACTGTGCGGGCAGCCTGTCTTTTACCCCCTGGGCTTATTGTTTCCTTTTCTGGATATTTTTTAAAAGCAGGAAAGAAATTTGCATAATAGCCTTCTTTGGCGCAAAGCAGGACGACGAACCATTGCGTGCGGCCTGTAATTTCGCGGGTCCTCGAGGCGCGTAATTCGGGGTTTTTCCCGAAAATGTCTCGGCTGGGCTTTGGACAATAGAGACTACCTGCCCTAAAATGAATAGTTCGTACACTTATACTTATATATGAATAGTACGTATACTTATAAGTGCCAGGGTTGCCATTGCCTGGAATTAAAAAGGCGCCAGAACTGCATGATGCCGAATGAAGCCAAAGTAGCCACGCCATTTATTATCATCGCCCAATTTGTGGCCAAGTCTATCAGGAGGGGTATCTAACAGAGTCTTCACATTGATAAATCAGTAAAACCCAATTAAATACGTAGAACCAGTAATTTAAAAGTAGCCAGTGAATAGTCGATTGCGCCAAATGGGAATTTTCGTCGCCAAACGGGTCGAAAAGCAGCCAATATGGCGTGAAGTAGCCACCACCGGCAGCCGTGCTAAGCGTAGCAAATCGAATAGATTGCTGTGCTACGGGGTTCACCGGCCGTTAGCAGCGAAGAACGTAAGGTCTCGCTCTAATAGTCTCTTAGACGCCGGTTCGATATCCAACCGGGGCAGCCGAATTTCGATGGCGACGAAATGAAAGAAAACCCGGGGGTTCACACCTACTTGGCTTTAGTTTCGCTTCTCAATAACCACAGGCGGTTCAAATCAACGCGGAGCCAGCACCTGCGGCGTACCTTATGGACCTATTCCATGTTTTGTAATCAGTGGTAGGCGCCGTCGACATACTGAGGCGATTGTAGCGACGTCGAGGCGCGTAGGCTCGCCAGCGCCCTCTGTGATCACGTGACAAATGGCACGCAGCAAAGCTGCCTCCGAGCACAGCGCGTGGGGGAGGATCCTCGCGTGCGTGGTAGGCTCCTTACAAACATGGAACAGGTCTGTACAATATTGGCGAGGTTTTCAGCATGGCAAACCCCGCCAATAATTATCATCCTATCTGTTCACCTAATACTCGAAGCTTATAATTCTGTGTATGGCGTAAACGTACTGTACCACTTAGTATGTGGCGGCTGCATTTCCGATGGAGGCGGAAATGTTGTAGGCCCGTGTGCTCTGATTTGGGTGCACGTTAAAGAACCCCAGGTGGTCAAAATTTCCGGAGCCCTCCACTACGGCGTCTCTCATAATCATATGGTGGTTTTGGGACGTTAAACCCCACAGATCAATCAACCACTTAGTATGTCACGCAAAAAAATGAGTTGTAGCTTTCTGATTGCTGGCGTAAACAGTGTCACCCCTTAAAAGAAAACTAATCGAGTCATAATCTAACCTAAATGATTCCCGCTGTGCTGTTCTGAGAGTAGCAACTGAAACTGGCTGCAGAAATATTACTATGTTAAATTATTGGCGGCGTGTTGAGGCACGGAAGCATTGTTTGTATCTTAAGTTGTTCCTTTGGTTTCGAAGTTTGGACATGCCATTATACAACGAAAAAAAACATGATATGCATTAGAGTCTGCACACATTTAAAGAAACGCTAAAGTAACTCGTTACAAGTAAAAAAAAATAGATCCGTTATTCTTTGGCAAGTATATCGTCGTTGTTTTGGGCATGAAAATATTATTAAAAGGATAACGTCAGATTTTCAAGTTCGAATTCCGTGCCGAAACTTCAGTACTCGATATCGCTCAGACGTCGCGAATCGTATTTTTGCTTGTTTGTCATTGTATTCTGGCCATAACTGAACTAATTTAAATTTCCCTAAGCTTGCTATGTCAAGTTTTGGTTCTTAAGAGGAAAAGAAAGAATCAAACAAACTTGCACGGCAGGCATAGACGAAACGATAAGGCTGGAGCACAGAGCAAGGTTGCCGCGGTTGAACCAAGCAGACTCTGTTAAAATTTATGACGTCATGGCGTAGCTATAGTGCGAGAAGGTCAGTGAAGCACCGCTACTTGCATTTTAGTTCTCGCTTTTTTTTTTTTGTACTGTCACGTCTTGTCGCCTAGCAAGGGCCTTCTCGCGTCACGAGAAGCGTTTATGGCATTGTTGAAGGGGTAATTTGCGAATACCATAACGATTTCTCTCTCTCACTCGGTCGTCCCTTTAAAAAAAAAAACACGACTCGTGTTTACACTGGGAATCGCCAAGCGGGGGTTTCGCGTAGGGGCATTCCAGGGCCCCAAGGCGGAACCGCGAGACGTGGCCCTGGTGGGTGGCCGATGGAAAAGAAGCGGCGTAGGAACTCGATTATACGCGGCAGGGACGGCCGAGGAAGAGACTTTCTCCCTTCCAAGGTTTCGCTCTATTCCATTCCTAGGCTCGGTATACTCGTTACGTGTCCCCTGCCGCGCGCGTCGCATCTCGCCGACTCTCCAGGAACCGCCGGCGAGCGTAAGTTTTAAAAGATAAAAATTAATAACAAAACAAAGACAAAGAACGCACACGATTTTTCTCAGTATTTATGTACAGAGACGTCCGTTAATGGCCGTTTCGTTCCGCCAGATGGCGCCACACAAACAAACCGCGGAAATGGTTTCAAACGCGTGCGTGTAACTGTGGAATGTAAGACCCTTTGTTTTGTTTTTGTCGGGTTGGTATTGAGATCGGACGGAAATGTAAAATTCAGCAGCGTACGTATGTGTGGCCGGCGCGGGTCACACAATGCGGAAAAAGGCGGCCCTCTCGGAGGTCAGGCTCGGCGTTTGTCGACCTTCGAAGCGCGAAGGCGAGATACTAGAAAGAAAGAAAGAAAGAAAGAAAGAAAGAAAGAAAGAAAGAAAGAAAGAAGGAAAGAAAGAAAGAAAGACTTCTTTAGCAACGCGTGAAGCCGTGATTTCTTTTTGTTTCTTTCTTTTAGGATAATCACCACTCCAATGGTGGTATTACGCCCCTCGCTGTATAGAAGTTTCAAGTTCACGCCTTTATTACGTTCACTACAGTTGATCGTGCGTTTCCTTTTTATATAGACAAGCGTTTTTTATTATCAACGTTCCTCGTTTTTACGTTTATTGGAACAAGGCGAAGTCGTCACGGACTATTAGTCGCCGGCCCCGTTGAACACTCGCTCGCGATCACTCTGATCGACGCGCGTATAGTTTTTTCCATTGTGCCTGCGTTGAGGGCCAACTCGTTGCGATCATCACACCTGCGTGGTGGCTTTTCTTATTATCTAATTTCTTGCACGGCACGTTTCCCCTTGCACACTAAAGAGCAGGCTAATGGTATTTACCGGATCCTTGAAGGTTCTTGCACGCTAACTTTTTGTTTTCTTTCTTTTTTTCTGTTGCCATGAGCTCACAAAATAGAACACCTAATCGAAACGAGTAGCGGGCAGCCTTCACGGCTCGCAGAACGCGTTAGTTTTGTAAACGCACGTCAATCATATCGTGCTCGTTTTCGGCTGCAGTTTAGATTGGTTAATTTTCCTCGCGTCGGGCAGGTAAACTAGTCGATTAAGAACTGTCCACCATAACGTTTCAAGTTCTGAACGTTCTTTCCAGAAGTACGACAAAAAAAAAACTCGTGCCAAAACTGTGCGTAATAAAAAAACGCAGAAAACAATTAAACCTCACATTACACATAGTTATATCAGGGACGCCAAGATACTGTACTCATGAACGCACATAGAGCTTCCGATGGCGATTCTAGTTCCAAAGTCCTTGCTTCATTACATTTCGAAGAAGTACTTGTGATCCATTCACTAACGTCGTATTCTACAAAATGACTTCATCGATTTACGAACCAAATAAGATAATGTTTTTCTCAGTGAGCTCGTTGTTCTTGCACGCTCAGACATATGCAGACTCAGACATATGCACTACGCATACAATTAGGTCATAACAACACAGGGGACGTTACTTGTTTAACTTACTTGCTTAACTGTAGTGTGGTAATTATGACGTAGATTGAAATAAGTAGTGAACAAAAAATATGATACTGTTTTTTTTTGTGTGTGTGTGTGTCCACAGACTGGACTCTCACCCAGATTTCTCCCCCCCAATTTTCTATCTTATCTATATGGTCTCCTTTCACGTGTAGGGTAGCAAACCGAACGAAGTCCAGTTAGCCTTTCTGCCTTCCTCCTCCTCTCTCTATCCTGTAAGGGTTCCTTAAGTATGCTTACTCACCCCGCACCGGTATCGCGGCCTGGACTCCGGGTCCTTCCTGAGGTCCATGAGGGCCAGGTAGCGGTCTCCGCCGCGGCCACTCTCCCAGTCGCCCAAGCACAAGAAGCTCACGTCTGCGTCAAGACACGAGCGCCGCTTAAATGTCAGGTTAAATCAGGTATTCGGATGGCAGGTTCACCGAGTCTCCTGATGTAAAGTGCTGAACGGCGTCAGTCCACAGCTAAACGAAACTCAGTGTCCAAGTTTCGTGCTGAATGCGTTTCTGAATTGGGGGCTCTATAGTGAACATGCACTTTGAATCACGAATGACATCGCCTCTAAAGAACTGTATACTCGTTACACAAGGTCATCTATTCGGAGCGCGAATGGCGCATGTACCGAGTGGTATATCCTAGATAGAATGAATTTGTCTCCAAAGTATCTCTAAGATCTGCCTCAAAAGACAGGAACTAGGCAATCGACCGCTAACGTTTATAGGGGTGTATCTCAAAAACGCGACTCCTTGTAGTCTTGCAAGAAACATGGCCCTCGATTATGCCACGTCGTGCATCACCAAAGTGTGCAGCAGGCTTTGACCTTCATGTGTAACACAAAATTTATGCCGTCTTGCTTAGGGCTGTATGCAGAATTTTTTTAAGGGGGGGGGTGTAGGGAAGGCACTTATTTTAATATAGAGTTTGGGCCGGGCAGGTAAATGGTTATTTTCCGCGATTTAAGCATGACGAGGTGCTTGTTTGGGCTAGTTGGTACTCTATTAAACTGTTTGATAGCTCAATGTTAACCATTAATGACCTGTTAACCATAGAACTGTTAATATTTAAATTAAGCATGGCGGTAAAATTTTTTTTTTTGGGGGGGGGGGGGACGGGCCTGGAGTGCTACCCTTGGCTACTCCCCCGATGCTGCTGAACTTTTTCCCATCCGTAAAGTGAACTACCAACCGCAACCCCCCCCCCCCCCCCCAACCCAGCCATCCCCCCTCTTGGTGTGTGCTTACCAAAGTCGGGGAACGAGCACTGCCGAAATCGCACGGTGAGTCCATCTCCTCGGGGACAGTTGCTCAGTTCGGAGGAGAAGGGCTCGGCGCACCGGAACTCTTCGCCGTTCGCGCTGTACTGGAAGCGGTAGCGGCCGTTGATGGGACAGAACATCTGGTGCAGGGAAGAACCCTGCAGCGAGGGCGACGGCGGCTCGCCCAGCAGTCCGTTGGCCTTCAGCTGCTCCTCTTGGTGCTTCCCTGCGAGTTTGAAGATTAGTGCATCCTTTCATTATGCGGACGACGAATTTCAACACGTTCTGTGACCATACAGGTGTCTCACCTGTCCCGTTTATTAGGGAGGCGATCGCCGGGCTAATTCCAAGAGCCGAAGTATCGGCCCCCCGAACCGCACCACGAAAGCGTGGACAATTTAGAAGTGGTCCTTATTGGTGCGCCAGCGGACGCCGGCTGTGGCCCAAAGAACAAGACAGAGCCGAGAGATGATAAGCAAACAAAATTATATTCTCATTAACGGCAGATCAAAAACAATACACACGTATGCACACTCCACAATAGTTACATACACTACGTCACCAAACAGACAATGTACTACACAGTACAATCAACCACACTTGAAACAACGGACACAGACAACAATACGCACTACGATGCAGTCACATGCATTGAACAACCAAGACACTTAAGGACTAAAGAGATAGAAAACCTATTCAGTCCAAAGTCCTTGGAACAAAAGTCTGAATGATACTCTTCCGAGAATCACTCACTCAAAGTCCAGCGTTGTTGTCGTTCCGCAGCTCTCTGAAGTTTCTCTTCCAGGAAACCTCCCGTCTTCAATTGGCCACTCTTCAAACTTCAACTTCTTTGCCCGAACACGTCGGCTTCACACACGCAGCTGTTGCCACGCGTCCTCGCTCAATAGCGGTAAACCCACGCTCTTGCCTGTAGCTCGAGCCGTCCCTACGGACCACAAACTTCGCCGACTACACGGCGGACTCTCTACGCACTCTGGCGCTCACTTCCGTCTCCTCCTGTTCTGTCACTACGGGCAGAACCTTCGCCGACTACACGGCGGAATTCCTACGCGCTCTGGCGTTAACTTCCGTCACCTCCTGATTTCTCGTCTCGGCTGCTCGGTTAAATACCTTGCGCGCGACTTTCCAGAAATTTCTGGTCATTTCGCCGGCGCGATACGCGGCGAAAGCTGGGAAGAGGGCGAGACAGTTGGAATGCCCTCTCCTGCCGGTGAGTCAACTCGGTATGGCCCCGCCCACTTCTTTCTGGAAAAATCGCGGGCTTGCTGGGCCGCCGATGTGGGGTGAGGAGGTTCGTCTGCGAAGCCGTGCTTCTGCGGGGAGAGCGCGCGCCCGGGAGCCCTCGATGTTTGCTTTCTTTTTTTTTCTCTTTTTACCTCGCGGCGTTTCTACCGCCCGTTGTCGCAAGGATTTGGCGGCGCGCTCTCTTTTTAGCGCTCGTTCTGTGACACTGCCCCCCACTTTAAGAATATTATCTCATAATATTCAAAACCACACAAACGAGCGCGCACAGTCACCACACATTCTCACAGACTGTAACACAATCCGTCGCTCATGACACTTCACATTCACAATATATCACTCAATACAATCGTACATTGTAGTTCAATTCCACAACACATGAAATATAGCCACAGGTACATGCCTACAACACTTCATCACACATTCCAAACAATACAAACGTACAAAGTTCTGTCGATACAACAATTATACAACACTTTACATCACATCATCGCACAGAACACTGACTCGCTCGACATACACTTGAGACACAGGATAACAAGAACAATAACACAACATACGGCACTCAACCCTGCCAAACACAATCTGATTCCACCTCAGCACCTATCTTGAGTACTTCGAACAGCGCTTGCGCCCTTTCTTGCGGTGCTCGCTCGACTTCTTGTTTTTCCACGTTCCCTTTCGGCGAGCCCTTTCCAACGACGATATCTGAGGCGTCGTCTCAGCCATCGTTGTCTCTTCCGACACCGTTAACGCGTCATTACATTCGTCGGGTCCTGTCTGTTTATTTACCCGCTTGATCATGCCTCTACATTTTGCCCGGCTGGCCAGCTCCGTCTCCTTTACACTGTCAGTCGGTTGAGGTCGTGCCGACGTACGTCCAGTTGCTCGGCCTGTGAACTTATTCGACACGATCGTCTTCTCCTTCGCTGTCTCTTGCGCCGCAGCTTCTCCTTGGGCTCTAGTGAGACTCGTCACGGGATGCTCCTCCACTGTATCTCGCGGCCGCTGTGTTGGCGAGGGCTCTATCTTCGGGTCTTCTCCCAAACATTCTGGATCACTTGGCCCTCGCGCCCCGTCGATGTTTCCGATGACAAGGTCATACAGGGGGGTCGTCATGCATAAAGCAGTAACCTTCCCGCTGAAGTACGGGGTTTCAACCTCAATTTCTGCTTCGGGAAGTAGCCGAACTGTACGGTCAATTAGGCAAACCGGTTTCGTTCTGCCTGTCAACTCACTTTCCCGTACCAAATTTCTCCGCACGATAACAGTGGAACTGCCGGTATCTCTTAACACCGTAATCTTTTTGCCCGCAACTTTTCCAGGCAGTGTTGGCATTCCTTTCGTAACACCGGTTGGCTGTTTTGACATTACAGCACCCACAATAGGAATTTTCTCCCCATTCTTCAACTCTACGAATCCATCGGTGACGTCACCAACGGTTTTTGGCGCCACTTGTGCACAGGATACCTGGTGAGTTTGACTCGCTCCGTTACGACATGCGTCTGCCTTGTGCCCAGTCTGACCACATTTGAAACATTTTACAACCGTGGGGCTCGTGAAGTTAGTTCGGCAGTGGCTAGCACGGTGACCCACTCGGTTACACAGAAAACATCGCGGAATTTTCTCCGGTGCATGCTTCTTTTCCTCAGGAGCCGATTTCTTCGAATCCTCGGGACCCTCCTTCTTGACTTTGGCCAAATTAGTGCCACCTTGCGCTTCCAAGAATTGATCAGCTAATTCAAGCATGTCTTCAAGTGACTTAGCTCTCCTCTCTTTCAAGTACAGCGACAGGCTTGGGTGGCAACTAGTAAGAAATTGTTCTCTAATTAGGAGCTCTCTAAGCTCCTCGTACTCCTGTGCTGTCCCTGAAAGTTCAATCCATCTGTCGAAATAATGGCAAAGTCGGGCGGCATACTGCGTAGCCGTTTCACCATCAGCTGGCTTTCCTGTCCGAAATCTGTCCCGGAATCCTTCCACGGTAAATCTAAATCGCTTCAACAAAGCAGCTTTCACCTTTGCGTAGTTGGCTGCATCGGTCGGCGTCAGCCTACCGTACACACTGAGCGCTTCACCACTCAAGCAAGTACTCAAAGCAGTCGCCCATTGATGTTCCGGCCAATTCTGGCTCCTCGCAATCGTCTCAAATCTGTGGAGGTACGCGTCTAGGTCGTCCTTCCTTTCATCAAACGCTACGAGCAGCTTGCTTGGGTTCAAGCGGAAGCCGTGATCTTCCCGTTCGCTGCTTTCAACTCTAGCTTGGACGGGAGTTTCGTTTCGCTGTTGCAAACGGAGCCGCTCGAGTTCAATTTCGTGCTGCCGCTGCCGTTCCCTTTCAGCCATCTCCGCTTCTCTTTCTTCTCTCGCCCTTTCGGCTGCCAACTTCTCTCTCTCCAGCTCCAACTTCAATTGCTGCTCTCTTTCTTCCTTCAGCTGTGGCTCTTTTGCCTCTCTTTCTTCTTTCAGCTGTCGCTCCTTTGCTTCTCTTTCTTCTCTCGCCCTTTCAGCGGCCAGCCTTTCTCTCTCCAACTCAGCTGCCTTTTCTTCCTTGGCCCTCTCTGCCGCCAACCTCTCTCTCTCCAACTCAGCTTCTTTTTCCGCTTTGGCTCTTTCGACCGCCAACCTCTCTCGTTCCAACTCAGCTGTTTTTTCTTCCTTGGCTTTCTCAGCTGCCAACCTTTCTCTCTCCACCGCCTCTTTCTCCTTCTGGCTTACCCATTTCCGTAGTTCGGCGCCGGAAAGACCCATCTTCTCACCAAGCGCAACTAACTTTTCGAGATCCATTGTGTCTCGCAACTCGCAAATGAAACCTTGCCGCGTGCAAAAAGTATCTGCCTAAATCAGTCTATCGGAACACTCCCCTGCACTCGTTAACGAGAACACTGAACAACACACAAAATCGTTCCGATAGCACTATCAACAACTCGAGGCTCTTTCTCACTACTTTGGACACACTGTGCACCAAAAGGTCCTGTCGCGGACGCCAGATTAATTGTCTCACCTGTCCCGTTTATTAGGGAGGCGATCGCCGGGCTAATTCCAAGAGCCGAAGTATCGGCCCCCCGAACCGCACCACGAAAGCGTGGACAATTTAGAAGTGGTCCTTATTGGTGCGCCAGCGGACGCCGGCTGTGGCCCAAAGAACAAGACAGAGCCGAGAGATGATAAGCAAACAAAATTATATTCTCATTAACGGCAGATCAAAAACAATACACACGTATGCACACTCCACAATAGTTACATACACTACGTCACCAAACAGACAATGTACTACACAGTACAATCAACCACACTTGAAACAACGGACACAGACAACAATACGCACTACGATGCAGTCACATGCATTGAACAACCAAGACACTTAAGGACTAAAGAGATAGAAAACCTATTCAGTCCAAAGTCCTTGGAACAAAAGTCTGAATGATACTCTTCCGAGAATCACTCACTCAAAGTCCAGCGTTGTTGTCGTTCCGCAGCTCTCTGAAGTTTCTCTTCCAGGAAACCTCCCGTCTTCAATTGGCCACTCTTCAAACTTCAACTTCTTTGCCCGAACACGTCGGCTTCACACACGCAGCTGTTGCCACGCGTCCTCGCTCAATAGCGGTAAACCCACGCTCTTGCCTGTAGCTCGAGCCGTCCCTACGGACCACAAACTTCGCCGACTACACGGCGGACTCTCTACGCACTCTGGCGCTCACTTCCGTCTCCTCCTGTTCTGTCACTACGGGCAGAACCTTCGCCGACTACACGGCGGAATTCCTACGCGCTCTGGCGTTAACTTCCGTCACCTCCTGATTTCTCGTCTCGGCTGCTCGGTTAAATACCTTGCGCGCGACTTTCCAGAAATTTCTGGTCATTTCGCCGGCGCGATACGCGGCGAAAGCTGGGAAGAGGGCGAGACAGTTGGAATGCCCTCTCCTGCCGGTGAGTCAACTCGGTATGGCCCCGCCCACTTCTTTCTGGAAAAATCGCGGGCTTGCTGGGCCGCCGATGTGGGGTGAGGAGGTTCGTCTGCGAAGCCGTGCTTCTGCGGGGAGAGCGCGCGCCCGGGAGCCCTCGATGTTTGCTTTCTTTTTTTTTCTCTTTTTACCTCGCGGCGTTTCTACCGCCCGTTGTCGCAAGGATTTGGCGGCGCGCTCTCTTTTTAGCGCTCGTTCTGTGACAACAGGATTGTTAGCATGCTGACCCAAAAGACCCGGATTCTAATCACCGTATCGGTGGTCGCACTTCGATGGAGTCATAATGACAGAGGCCCATCTACGGCACCGCAGGTGGTACAAATTATCCATAGCACTCCGTTAGCTGCGGCGTCTTTCATAGCATTGAGCTACATCGACATGTTAAAAGCCCTATAGATCAATCAAACAACAAAACATATTCGAGGGTCCCGGACGGATTAGTACGATCAAAAACAGTTTAAATAACTAATGTACGTGAAACAAAATTACCTAGAAAATCACCATTATCAATCAGTAAGTCAATCGATCAGTCAACACTCACTGTATAGTATGATCTCTGTAAACCGCCGCTCCGACACTGCCCTGTCGTCGGGACATGTCGCCCTGGCTGCCTCCTCGTTTGTGTAGCACCGGGCGAGACCTGGACATAAAAAAATATAAAAAAACATTCTGGATGACACGGCGTGAGTGCGCAATTAAGCGCTGGACGTCCACACACTATGGACCTTCTCTGTGCACCCTTGCAACTAATTGAAATACCAAACAGCCTATGCTTCGATGACTCACCTTCAGCGTGAATCTGAATCACGTTCGGCGTCTTGAGCGTCAGGTGGAAGCAACGCATGCAGTCCTCAGCGCCCGTGCTGCAAGAAACGTTACATACGCCAAGGAAATCATAAGCAATGGTCGCGTGCTGCCGGGCACTGCACTGACGCATATCATCGTTCCTATTCGACCGAGCTAAGAAAACACTGAGGAAAGAAGAGAGAGTACCCTATCGTGAAAGCCTTACAGATCATATGGTTTTGCAACCTTGGAGCTCCCGTAGAAAGCAAACTGCCGCCGAGTTGATATTACTGGCCTGGTTTATCACTATAATAATCTGGTGCATGTATACTGAGTATGACTATGCGCGACTTCAGTTGTGCGTGCGAGAATTCGAAATCGTGAATGATATCGCTATTACAACTCGCAGAAATGACTACAAGAATGCTTATAATCATGACCCATTTTACCAATAAATATTATTAATAATAATAAGGTCACTGTGGTCCTAATGCTCGTTCTACCGACGCAGTGGCAGCTGCGTGGGAGCGCTTCACATTTCTATAACAGGTGCCGCACGTTGGCGCTGCTCACACTGAAGCTTTAGGGCTCCACCCTATAGTCGAAGATAATGGCGCCGAATTTTTCAAAGCATTGGGGGTTTAGGGACAGTGAAGGCAAAATAGACTTTAAACGGGTAGAAATAACCAGGAGGAGGCTGATTGGTGGCTGCAATCGAGGCGCGAGTGAAATTCAATCCTTAAACACACAGTGGTAGTACTTAACTTTATGGCTAGGTGGCATGAGCCACCGCCCGATCTACAGGGTACAGCCGGATACATCCATCCATTCATCCATTTAGAGGGGGCGGCATCCGAATGCCACCCGTCCCTCCCCCTTCCCTGATGAATCTCCACACACCTGTCCTTGAGGATGACGTGGTGTCCCCGTCGCCGATGGCAGCGCCCCCACGGCGGTATGGCGTCCACTTCGACGGTGATCTCTGAGTAGGAGACCACCGAACCGCCGTACGCCTGCGTCGCCTGCGTCTGCATCAGGAATGTGCCGTGGAGTTCGACGGGGAAGTAGCACACTGCCGAGCCTGCAATAGAAAAAAAGAACAGAGGGCTTAGAGAAAGTGTGGGAGCAAGCCACTGCGGGTATTTCTGGTCACTTCTCCATTAGCCAAGAAATTTAAGCCGTATATGGTCAGCCCAAGCCAAGAAACAGATCAAGTTCCAAAAGTAATGCAAATTAAATTACGTGTATACAGCAAAAAAAAAAATGCATAACAAGTAATGAGGCTTCGACACTAAACAGGCTTCAACATGATGTTTATTTAAGAAGTTTATGTAAGGTAAATGAAGCTGAACGCGGCCTTGAGGTATTCGAATTTGCTAGCATTCGCTATTGTCAGCACGTGCATTGCAACACTTAAAAAAATCGTAAACTATAGAAGCGCGCACATTGAATAGGCTGAATGGCTTACAAAAGCACGCAGGTGTGCGCTGCTGCGTGCAACGTGAATAACCGCATGCTCGAAGCACGCCAAACAGCGTGCACGCGAACCAGCTGGTTCAGACTGCATGCTTATATACACCTTCCATTATCATCTGCACGATCGTCTGCTTGTTGTCTGCAGGTGTGTGAGCTTTTCTGTGTCGCGGGCTTTGAAGCTCGGCGAATTCGTCACGAGGTGCCAAAAGAGTTCGGCGCAAGAAGCTCGCACGTAACGCGAGCCACCTTTTGTTGGTTGCGTCGCACGTGACCCAGCAGTGCACAATGAAGCCGCCACTCAAAGAGAGAAAGGCTTAGCACCGTTCCAGGCGTCTCGTCACCTCATATACAGCCAAGGGTGTTGGATTCGGCTGATCGCTGGGCTGTATGTAAGAACTAGTAAAAATAGCGCGAGGTACACGGGTGAGAAAGCAGACAACACCAGTCGTGCTTCTTTCGCTCTACTTTCAGTGCGTAATACCTTTTTCAAGGAGCCGTACAACACCCTAACGCATATGCATGTACAATATCACCGTTTTCTTTGTGTGCGTACAAAGACAAGTATGCATACAAGGCAGGACAGTTCGTGCGTCGTTGTCCCTTCACCACACATGTCCCGCCTCGTGACAGAATTTCGTCGCGTTCGAATGTGGACGTACACGTCACGCCATGACGTCCTCCTGCTGTGCGACGTCGCCACGCCCTCTTTTGATGCTTCGCGAAATTTATTTGTTCGAGGTGTAGTCGGGAGCACACGGACATGGGTTCAAGAAACCACACTTACACTGACGTTTTTATTTTTATGCATTTCTGTGCCCTCTATCCTTGAAGGCGTGCTCTTTCACTTGATAATGAACCATGCTTGTTTCCGTTCACTCCATAAACAGTTCGCACCTTCTCAAGAGCCCTCTGGTCCCGCGAAAACAATTGACGATGGTCCCCTGCATTGTTTGTGTTTTCCATCTTGAAAAACTGCGCTCTTGCTGCTTTCTTATGCAGCAATGCTGTGTGAAGCAGTTAGCGTGCATAATGTTCCTAAACACAATGTACACTGGACTCGCAATGTTAAAGTTTTCCCCTAATAGACGATGTGGGAGGCTAAGAAAGAATGCTGAGGAGCAGCTAAGTGACTATCCCGTCCCACGCAGAGAAAATAAACATGTTTTACGCACGAGTTTTATAGCCAACATATTGGGCCGTTGAGTTTTGTGTTTTGACGAACGCCAGAATCAATACAGCTAAGTTTACTTATCGTGGCTTTCTATTCTTGTATGGTTTTTTTACAGACTGTCGTATATTGCTTTTAGTCTGCACTAATCATAAGTTTTCATGTTTTCCGTTTGTGAACTGTTCTTCTTTGCTCTTGCCCACCTGGCTATCTATGCATAGATTACTTTGGGCTACGGACTAGTCAAGCCGCCTCTCGGCAGCTTTTCTTTTTTTTTTTTCGTTGTCCTCCATCTGTAAAATGGTACATGGTGGAAATGAAATTTGATTTGATTCGATTTTGCCTCTCTACCAACTAAAAACGAACAGTGTTAGGGTAGACGCATAAGCATGAAAACGGTTTGATTGCTACATGCGATGTTTCATGGCCTTATGAATTCACATCATACAAAAACTAGAAAACGTCGGCTTAACAGCGCACAATGGCGGTGCCACTTGTCGGCGGAAACTTCAACATTCTTTAAGTTTTAATTTTATATTTTCATTACTTTCTCTCTTTTCCTGAAAAATCGTCTCTTAAAAGGGTGCAGAAGTAGTTATGTAGCGTGTGGAGAAAACGAAAACCTCGCGACCGCGTAAGGCTCCCTCTAAACACCCCTCCCCCGTTACCCCTCCCCTGCTCTATCTACTGCTTGCGTCGCGTGCGTCTTGCGCAGCCCCGCGTTCAACTTGGCCGCTTCCATCTTCTAGCGAACGCACTCTCAGGCAAAACTCAAAGTGAAACCCAGCCTGGTTCCCATGCGAGCGCGGCTTCGCTAGCGCAGAGCGGGGGCGGCCCTTCTTCCTACGCGAAATTAGCGCGACGGCCCCGAATTGCTCGACTGCGCACGCGTCCAACTATACACCGTGTGCTGCCCATGCACGAAGCACGATGCCGGGCGCCTAACCTAGGCGGCGCAGCGGAGCTCACGCACGAGGCTTGCGCAGCAGGGCGAGCTTTGCGTGCGTAAAGGAAAGCGTCTCGCAACGCCTTCCCTCCTCCGCTGCCTTGCCGCCCCCTAGCGTCGAGGTAAGTCCGCCGTGCGCGCGTTCTAGCCACACCACCCCCCTTCCGGGACATAATGACTGCATTAAGTAGGAGACAAAGGAAATTAGCCGCCGCCGGAGTTTCATTTCGAAGCCGGCTCCGATGGGTGGCGTGGGTGTAGCATTTTGCTTAAACGGGGAGGGTGGGGACGAGAATGTAAAGTAATCTCAGGAGCTGAAAATAGAAAATTATGAAGCCGTGACGCTATCGTATAGTGAAGACAATTCAACAATACAGTGTTGCTATCGGCCGTACTATGCTGAATATCGCGGGTTTCGCCAGCAGTAGGGTACGGGCGAGGAAGTCGTGAAATCCAGGAACACGACAGGTGTTGCGTATACGAAGAAGAACGCGAATGGGCAGTATCAGTGTTTGGGGTCGCGAGTTCAGAAAAGAGAGAGAGAAAGCAAGGAGAAAGGAAGATACTTGGGTCGCACCATTCAAGCCGAGTTGATCGCCTTTGACGCCGCGTAGTTTTCGCTCGCAACGTTTCTCAACCACTTTCACCCGCATTACCTTTGCTTGTGCAATCAAGCTTTCCTTTAAACCCGTGTGCGATAGGTTGTAACACGTTGTCAGTGCACTCATCTTCTTCATGCAGTGAAGATGCACTAGCGAAGCCACATCACCACCCTTTAAAACCCTAAACACACACAAAAAAATTCAAGTCTAGTCCATGGTTTCGCTGTAAGAACTAAGGTACACCAAACAAGGAATCGCCACCGCATGCTGTATAACCTAAACACGCGGCCAACGAAGACGTCTCACGCGCGCTTCTGGGGGCTTGCTGTCTTCATCAGTCCAGCGACGCGACGAAAATGACCACCGGCTGTCCAGTTCGAGCAGGGGCAGCTCCATAACGCTCACGGGCTCGCGTCAACGACTCGAGTAATTGAGGTACTCTTTCGTGCACCGGACAATCTCGTCACGCATGTCACCCGCGTCTCTTTTTCGGAGTGTATGCGTCTTCATAGAGGACATGAAGAGATTCGTGCGTGGTACTGTAGGGGAGAAACTGGCGCTAGTGTGCGTTTCAGTCATGTTTATTTGCGAGGAACAATGCAACGCGTCATTAAGCGTCATGATTTTCATGCTAGGGTCTGTCGCTTGTGTTCGCCATGCAATCATGCCATACTATACCAGTTTTGCAACATGCCATGTGAACGAAACTACCGCAAGAGCTGCAGCACCATGAAATGTAAATCATGACATTAATGGCATACATGTCATGATTTTTATGTTATGACTAGTCAGTTATGTTTACCATACAGTCATGTTATTCCATACCAAGTTTGGTATCGATACCATTATCGAAACGGCCAGGAGAGCTAAAAGTCGTAGGCGCATGGATAGACAGACAGACAGATAGATAGATAGATAGATAGATAGATAGATAGATAGATAGATAGATAGATAGATAGATAGATAGATAGATAGATAGATAGATAGATAGATAGATAGATAGACAGATAGATTGATAGATTGATACGCTCAAAGTCGCCGAAGTTCGATAAGAAATTCTTCGCATTTAAAATAGCAGACTACATAACGCCCTACGCCCAGTTAAAAACAGACCGTTGCTGTGATAGCCAATATTGTAGTAAGATCTATTGAGAGCGCTTCCCTTTTTGCTCGAAACAGCTCCAATAATAGTGTTGAACGCGATCCGTTCCCCCCACCAACTCCTCCCAGATATCGTCCTTTCTTATAACGCTTGTCACTTTTCTTTGACTAAGATCAAACGTCCAAAAGCAATTATTCGGGGTCACTTAGTGGCTCATATGCAATGACTTCCACCACGCGGAATGCTGCAGCCTTATCGAGTAGGGCGCGCACGTCGTGGCGCCCTTGTATCGAACTCGCGACTTCTCGATCGACGGCAGCATGCGACACAGCCGGTGAGAGCGTCTGCTTCACCATGTTTTGCAGCCAAGTCGACAACCTCTTTTACGCAACGTCTGTCTTCTTTGGTGCCTAAAGGAAACGGCAGAATTTTGTTTGTTCATTTACTGTCCCGTCCAGTTTTGAAATGAGGAAGCAACCCACGGTACACAGTGTCCCGTCGTGGCGCATGCGCGGAGCGCCGACTCTATGCAGCCACGAGACTATGTAGCGGTGCCGTTTTTCTTCGCTCGCCGAGAAACCGCGATTTTCCGTACAGTGCGCCACTCTTTCCTCTTGACGTCGCCGGCGCACGCACACAAAGCCAAACTGCCAGCACTCTCGCTGACCGCTCTCTCCGTATTTGGTCACCGGTGAAACGGACAGATCTTTATCAACAAAACACTTCATTTGATTCTGGGTCGAGTCGTTCGAGATAAAAAGCTCTTTTTCTCCCAGCGACGTGCCTT